CCATCAAAACGCCTGCCATTTGATATAAATAAATAATAAATTTCCAAGACCATTTGGAAGAGCGTCATGAGCAGAGGAAAGATAGCGTGGAGCCAAACTTACGAGGATTTGGCATTTTACAATTCCTCATATTGCCCAGAATGAAGTAGGATGGCTAGCCATCAACACCAGTAGATATGCACTGATGGGTATTAATCGACCTCTTTATGAGGCAAAATTCATGTCTTTTGGTCGATGCCACTTCATGATAACTGACACCTGTGTTGATAATTATATGCTATACACCTGAATCTCCTGTGGATGGTGTTGCAACCAAATTATCGTTTTGAATCTCCTGGTGCCCTAGAGCAGAGTCCAAACGAATTATGCTTATCCGCAATATCCATACTGAATAAACGTGCTCCGTGCTTCACGTCTGTTTCCTTACATAGCTGAGCTATAGCTTAGCTGCTTCTGGGAGTCTAGCTAGATGTAGGAGGATCTGCCATAGATATAAACGCGCTCCGTGCTACACGTCTGTTTTCTTTATAGCTGAGCTATAGCTTAGCTGTTCTCTAGCTAGAGGTTGGAGAATCTGCCATAGAGATTTCTGATTCCTAGCTAGATGTTGGAGAATCTGCCATAGAAATTTCTGAGCCGGTAGCTAGATGTTTGAGAATCTGCCATGGAGATTTCTGAGTCGGTCTAGATGTAGGAGAATCTGCCAAAGAGATTTCTGAGTCAGGAGGATCTGCCATAGAGATTTCTGAGTCAGTCTGGCTTTAATAAAGTAGCAATCCGCTACAGTATAATTAAAGCAACAGCCAAAGGACCCAGACTCCGGCTCATTGCAACAATTAAACTTAATTAGCAGTATTTGTATCATTTATATCTTTTCATCGCAGATTTCAACGCCACCTTCCAAGTACTGCACCCCCCCCCCCCCCCCAGAGCGATGGCGAACGATAACTATTAAGCTTGAGTGAGGTTGTGAACCCACCACCAATGCACTTGAAAATCAAAATATAGGTTAATAGTGGACGAAAAATGAAAAATAATGGTGAACGCATGAAGAAAAGAAAAACTTATTTCACAACTTCTTTTAATTATTTATAAATCTGACATGTTTGGAATGACCCACTTCTAAAACAAAAGACACACTTTCTTTTCACCATACGTTTGCTCATTTTTGCGATATATTTTCACCTATTCAACCATAAAAAGCATTTCTGTCATCGATCAATATCGATTGATATTACCAGTCATTATTGTTAAGCAATGCTTGTTTTGAGGGTAAATATTTCGATCAACTAATTCCATTGGAGCATCAGGATTGAAATGTATCAATATTTAACCGACTCACTTAGGTATATGTTTCTTTTCCCTAGAAATCTGGGTTACGATCAGTTTCATTCTCTGGATAATTGAAAGAATGGTCATTCAATGTAATAAGAAGTATGAAATGAGTGATTACTTGGTGAGTTTTGAGACTAGAAGGTGGAAATGCTTCCGTTTAATTGAAATCCCATGATTATGCAATCGAATGCTTTTACACTTTATTTCAATTTATTAGGAACGACGGTTATCACCAGCCTGGGAGCAGCGTATTCGCTTTGGAGCTTGTGCCATGATACAACTTGTTAATATGATGAGTTTTTATTGCTTTGTAACTTACTTTGAGACTGGATTCTTCATGATGAAAACCATGTTTACGCATCCATGTAAGTTAGCTTTCGATTAAGTCAGTAATTAGTCTCTAATAAGGACATGGATATTTGACACGAAAGATTATTTAAATGAAATTAATCATGTTAGACAGGTATATACAATTTCAGACTGGTAGGCCATTACATTTAGTACATGCATTCAATAATTATCGTGACGACATATCATTGGTTGGCAGTCTTAAAACCCATATAAATGTAAATTTTGCAAAAACAAAACACGAATTACGGTACTAATCAGTCTAAAGAAAATAAAAATTGAGATATTATTAACTTATTTGGTTTTAACTAAAAGTAAAACAGTTTAATACTATGACGTGGTAATATATTTGCTATTAAAAGAAATTTATAGTTATGTCGAAAACCTATATCAAAAGATAATTTGAAATCAATTTGATTGACGTAAAAAATGTTTTAGCAAATCTGGAAGTACTGTTCTCCTTAAATAAGAAAATGGGGTGTAATTGACCAATCTGATGAATTCGATTAGCTTAATCTTATTAAAAATTGATATCAAAAGTTGCATTAATACTTCAACTACATGTAAATCAGAAATTGTTAATTATAAAATAAGTAATCTGTAAATAGGTACTGTTTTTCAGATCAGGCGCATTAATGATAGAATACGGATGATCAATAATTAAAATTTAATCATCAAATTTTCAATTTAATTGAAGATATTGTTTCTTCATCTCTTCCATAGATTCACAACTACTCTTCGTAATCTCCATGTACATCTCCATTACTTTAAAAAACGCGATGTTTTAGGAAAAAAACTACACTCAATCCAGAAACAAACGGTTGGTGGCTGGGAATCTTTTAAAATTCATAATAAATTAATACTTTTAAAACACTCTTCCAAAAAATTTTTGCAATTGCATAATAAAGTCTCATCAATTTAAATAGCGGTGCACACCTAAAACACTACTTAAAAAGTATTCGAGGGTTTAATCATAATTTTGAGGCCTTCAACTCGGGGTTAATAGGGGAAAGGAATTTGGTTAGATAATCATTCTACTTAATATCGAATGAAAAAGGGGCATGCGATAGACTTACCTCCACGTGGTGCACCCTGGGCAAAATATACTCATACGACAAAAAAGTATATTAGCCGTCAGTTGGCTTCTCACTTCAAACTACCCTCACCCCACTATATGCCATATTCGACTAATTTCCCAGTACTCACCTCACCTTTTTTCTACATTTTTGCCTGTCTCTTTGACGTCTTTGAAGCACTCTTCTGTTCCCCCTCTCGAATTTTTCTCACTTTGATGCTTGTCCCCCTCTCGACTTTTTGTCACTTTGATGTGAATCGCTCTTCTTTCCTCCCTATCATTTCTTCGCACTTTAATGCTCCTACCTTCTGTGAAGCCCGAAGTCAGCTAAATGGCTAATGATAGCTGTCCTGTGAAGCCCGAAGTCAACTAAAGGGCTAATGATAACTACCAATCTCGACTTTTTGCCATTTTGATGTTCCTCCTCCTCTCTGTGAAGTCCGAAGTCAGCTAAAGGGCTAATGATAACTATCATATAGCCTGCCATTTGAAATAAATACATATTGAATGAAAAAAGGCTGTTAGCTCATACTAGAGATTGTAAATGTTTTATACACAGGGCACAAGTCAAGAAAGCATCATTCTCCACTGCCTTAAAACACATCAGGACGTGGTTGATAGTCCTCGAGGTGTAGCACCGTGTGCAGGGATCGATTTCCCAGGCATATCTTCCAAGACAATAATTAATCCACCTTCGACAGATAAGTAGTTGAGGTAGACAGTGGAAGGGGGGAGTTGGTTGCTTATTGAATTGATAGCAAAGGAGGCAGCGGGCTTCATGAAGGAGGACAAAGTGATGAGAAAAGAAGAATTGTACCGTCTATGAGCTGATATTACGTATTGAAAAGGAGGTGAAGAAACACTCGTCACTAAATCTAAATCTTATCACTCTCAGTGGATGATGATCAACATAATTGTTGATGTGCAATTAAGTATTCGACTTGTAACTAAACAATAAATTTTCATAACACCATTATCCTCCAAATTGTAAAGTTTTAATTACATTTCAATGAAGAAGTCAATGTAGGAATAACGAATAAATGATATGTTAATTTGGGTATTTTCTTCAAAGATGTTGTTCAAAAATGAAATAAAGAAACAAGTGGTGTCAATCAATGAAGTTTGTTAAAAATTTCATTGCATCTGTATATGGCAATTGTTGGGCACTGTATGATATGCACAAAATGACGAGGAAAACGTCTAAAATGAGATAGAAAGGCAAATAATGCAAACGCTGAACAATTTGATTAAAAAATTCAGAGAGTGGATTATAATTTAATGATTAGGCGAATATTGACTCATCTCCACAGAAGAGAAGGATGCAACCTGATACTCCAAACTTCTTTCAATTAGCTCTATTTTTATTCACTGATAAATTACATTTAATTCCTAAGTACATCACTCCTCCGAAACACAAAAAGTACACAAATGTGAAAAGGCCAAGACACAAAATCTCTCATCTCCACCAATATCTTCTCTGCCATCTAGTCAGTATCATATATGATCGTTTGGTCTTCTCGGACTTCTGGAAATAGAACCACAATAAAATGAAATTAGTCGATTGTGTAATTGGCGAACGGATTCCAAAGAACTGCAAATACAAACTCAGCACAATTTTGGGCTTCAATTACATTGTTCTGCTCTACGAAAATTGTTCTCAACTTTGCACTATTCTCAGTACCTTCATGCTGACAAAGTCGTGTGAAATACGTTTAAAAAGTGTTAATGATTTGATTAAGCCAATAATGCAAATTAGTGCAATAAATTTGACAAGTCAGCTTACATGGATGTGTAAGCATGGTTTTCATCAAGAAATCACCAGTTGTGTAGTCAGTGACAAAGTAGAGGAAACTGATGAGGTTGGCAACTTGAAGTAGAGCACAGGCTCCTGTTCGAATACGATGTTCCCAGGCAGGCGAAAAACGATTCTCCTATTGGAATCGCAATGGGAAAACGATTTTACATTGTGCCACATTCTTCAGAGTCGTGGCTTATTTCTACTCTTCAGGTTATTACAACTCACCAAATATTCACTCGTATTGTTCTTTCGGAAGTACTGAATGGCAATTCTCTCAATCAACCAGAATGTGAAGCTGAGCATAACCCAGATTTCTGTTAAAAGAAAACATAATAATGAAGTTTGAGGGGGGGGGGGGGAATTTGGTACATGAGTGCACATCAACTGGCAACAGATAAAGCAAAACAGATTCAACTTTTCTACCCACTCAAATATGCTCGGCTAACTTAGGACATCTATTCAACCCACTTCTGTAGGCTCGTGAATGTATCTTTAAGACACTTTGTCACCTCCACCACCACTGGAGGGTAACCTGAGTGAAGTTCCTGACAACGACATACAATCAATACTAATGCACATTTAGTTCTGGTGGATGCTGAAATTCAGAGGACAAATGGCAGAATACAAATTTAGCAGGTAGACATACAAAGCCAAGGCCTTCTAGTGTCTTGTTGCTTCTCTCTGCAGTCTTCGTGTGTCCTCTCCTTCACCGCTCATTGTGTCTCTCAATTAAAACACGCAAACAATAAAAGCAGCATTTTAATCTAAGAGTATTGGACAAAATTGGCATTTGCGGTGTTTTTAAACAAAGCAACTTGATTATACCAAACTGGAATACATGTCAACTCACTATTTCCCATGGTCCAGTGGTGAAATGTCAGAACGAAGAGGAACGTAAGTAGGGCACCACAGGTAGCACTGATGTTGCTGAGAAGGGAACTCAGTCTGCTTCTCTCAACTTCATCACCTCTGCAGAATACTCCATTCACCACATTCATCCATGGAATGTAGATATAACTAAAGCAAGAAACAGGTCAACTAGTACACTTACACATGTTTTAAACAAATTCAGGTATATTAGAGAGACTGTGCAACGAGACGGCATCTAACATTAAGCAGAAGCCCCAAGACTACACATCCAACTATTACTCCAATTGAGTAAGTCATATGTGATCCACATTGTTAGTCTTTCCCACTTCGTCTTCCATTGTTCATTTTGAACGCCCCCACTAACCACATTCCATGTAAAGTATCAGGCAGTATCTTGTCTTAGACACAACTTTTTTAGAGAAAATTCAATATTACTCGGGATTCGAATTCATTCAGCATCTCATTTACTTCATAGGTCAAGATACTTTATGAATAGGAAAATTAGGTACACTCACTATTTGAGAACATTGTATAATCCAATGTCGAATTTTCTGAAACAACAAAAAAAAAGCGAATTAAACATTTTAAAGCCATACTTTAAAGTATATTTAGTATTTTGTAGAATTCCGAGCAAACATTCATCTCTTCAACGATATTTTATTATACTAGAAATTCAGCAGTGTTATATTCCACATAAGTTATGGAAATAAAATTTCTATGGAATAAACCAACCCCACAATTTTGCATTCAGGAGAGTTTAGTTAGCTCCATTCTAAGTGCCGTCCTTTGGAAACATTCATTGCCATGCACACAGACTATTCTCATAACCACCCCTCACGAGGCATGTTACTTTGACCTCACAATCACTCTCCCAGCATAGCATTTGCTGCCTCTAACTCATCCTTCATTTTATGCGGTGCCTTCTCCTGTGTTCCCAATACGACTTGAGCAACAAATGCGCGACTCATTCACAACTTCCTGTTTGAAACGGTTTATAATACACAGAATAGATTTGCTCATTTATCTCATTCCTCACAACGGGCACTTTTGTGGCTTTCTATTATTCATCATCAACCTGTCCGTCACCTCGATCTCTTCAAACAAAATCGCCACCATACACAGATAACGCTTTGCATTAGCCAACTACTAATCTGTTGAGGGAAATATCACATCTCGAAAGAACCACCTCATTAGCATTGAAATTAGTGAATTACCTCCAAATTTCCGACGATGTCACTGTACTCATTGTCCAACACGGTCCACCAGGCATGAGACACTCTGTTTCTATATCTACCTTGAAGAGTTTCTCTATGATATTTGTCTTCTTCCAAGCCTTTTTCACATTTTCATTCCCACCAATCATTTTATCAGAATTTGGACTGAATGCTGGTGAAAGGAGAAATTGTTGAAAGTCACCAACCAATCGTGACATTTTGTAGGAGAAGATATAGTAGAAATTAAATCGGATTACTACCATCAATGTGGCATAGGAAAGAATGGGAAAGTCAGAAAGTTTGATCTGATGTTTTAGTACTCTTTCAATTATTGGTGCTGATGCCCTGACGATATTGACTCCACAGATGCAGTACTTGAATATACACGCCAGAAATGCCACTTGAAGTAAGCGAAATGCGAGTCGAAGGAGGGAGAGTGTTCGAATCTCAGTTGCTTTGCCTACACGCTTCTTGAGAACCAATTTGAATGAACCACTCCATATGTACTGAAATAGAAGCCATAAGAATTAGTGTAATTTATCCATTCAGATTTAAAATGGTTGTCTGCAATTCACTTTAAAAGTGCCATATGCGGATTACAATCTGTAAAACGGAAATTGTTTGAATGGGCAGGAGTACTTAGGCCAAGATCTAATAGTTCTATTGTTTTGGATTCACATTTAGAAGATGTTGTGTGTGGTCAAATTGAAGCAATAGTAACTCTATTTTGGGAGCATCCGGAACACGCCATGGTGAAATGAACTTGCTATATTAACGTTACACAATGAATTTTCCTTTCCATTCACATTGATTAATCCTCTCAAATAGTGGGCTCCTGCACCTCACTTTGTCAATATGTTTCATTTTTAAACACTTTCCACTGCTGTTTGACACAGAAATAAGTGGACCAGCCACAAGAAACGGCCAGATTCATCTTGAGAGTTGCATTGGAAGGTGTACTTACCTCGTGTCCACCATCGCGCCATTTTTTCCAGTCCGAAAAAAGAACGAAAGAAGTTGTCATGAAGGCGGTGGTAAATGCGGAGAAACCGATACTCTCAGACAAGAGACGTCTCCAACTGATCGGCTCGGTTTCGCTAGCATAGTCGCAACAAATTAGCATTGCTCGAACCAATTGTGCATGGAATCCGGCAGAGGCCAAAATCGAGTTTCTCAGGTGGTCTGAGAAGTTCTAACAGGGAACAGAGAAAGATTTTCAATTCACTTCAAATGCGAATTCTTGAATATAGAACAATTCTGAGGTTATTCTCAGGGAAATTTCAAAATATGAGTGTGTCAATAATGCCACTATTGCTAGTATTGACAGTGTCCATGACCATCATGTCATCAACTAGATCCACTTTATAAGTAGTAACATACGTGCATCAACAGTCCTAATTTTAGCAATGTGTCAAACCACAGCTAGCAATGCTTCAACTCAATAGCATTTTTGGCAAAATTATTATTATTTCAAATGTCAGGCTTTACGATATTTATCATCAGCCACTTAGTTGACTTCAGCTTTACCCACAGGGGGGGGGGAACATATATAGCAGTTAATTAAAAGTAGTTCATTAATTGTCCTCTATCTTTCCAGTATCTCTGGGTTTCCTTCGTTGTCTTTATGGCTAGACACCAAATCAGATGGGTCTTCTCCATTTCCTCCTGTAGGTCACATAGAGGGCATGTGGGTTGAGTGTATACCTCTAACCTGTGAAGGTGTTTTGCCAGGCAATCGTATTCGGTACGTAGTCAAAACTCAGCAACAGCTTCGGTTCTTGACCAGTTGGCTATGTCGGAAAGTGCCACTGCCCACTGTTTCTCCTTTGTTCATATTTTTAGCAAAATAATTTACTCGAGGTAACCAATTAGAAACGAAGGTGCTAAAAAAACATATGATTTCTTCGGTCATCTTAAGCAATGTGTCAGTAGCCAGAAGTAAACCAAATTGGCTCAAAACGAATCGCTGGGATGAATTTTGAACAGAAGAGTTTCGTGTAAAATTATTGGCTGTTACATCACAGCATATGGAGGCAAATTATTACTTGAAGTGGATTCAACGAGTATTTAGACAAAAGTAGAAGCCGGAATGCCCTGTAGATTAGATTTTACCACAAACATGGTCATCTTTAGCTCTGGAGAGCACTAAGGTGTCACAGTGCATATTACTTTCAAGGGACGACTTATTCGGGAAAAAATGAAAGATAAAGATCACAAGTGCTTGCTGATTAAAAGGATGAATCAGCAAGCAATGCCATGAATAATTCAAAGAAACAGAAGGTGTTTGGAAGTGCGTCCTGCCCATCAATGTCACTTCAGGGTGTTTTCACCAGGCCAATGTGAGTTTGAGGCATATTCCACTTGGTCTGAGAACGTTAAGTAGCGAAATGGTTGGCCGTAAATCAACTAAATCTGTCTAACTGCGCCTTCGCAGATCTCCTCCACTCCACTTTCCTTCAAGGGAAGTTTGAGTAGAGGAGATGAACAAACCGACAAATCAATCAAATAAGAAGCACGAATTCCCAAATAGAGTGAAAATGAAATAGCTCAGAGATGGTGGAAGGTGGCGAAGCTTCTTAGTGCCATTTCAATACAAAACATGTGCTGATTCGTCAATTTCCGATGTTATACACTCTGCATGTCTAAATACCACAATTTGAAACAACTAACAGCATATTGAAGCATCTGTCTTTTGAACATTAGAGCAGAAATCAACTGCCCCTTGGCTTATTTAAAGTCAGTTTTATCTTCCCATCAGGGCACACATGTGTCATAAAACAAGTAATAAAATATTGTTATGCAATCGAACTTACAAGGAGTGACTTACCAACCACGGGAGATCCTCCAACAGTGGGAGGATAAAGGCGAGAACCAATAATCCAACAACTTGGGGGAGTATCTTGATTCCTTGAAGACATTTGCCAATCGTTGCCATGCTAATCATTATAGCAATTATGACACCTGTCAACGTGAGTCCGTAGAAGGCAGCCATGATACCAAGGGATATTAATGCTTGTACATCCCTTTTCTGAAACAATACTGACTAGAGTGAAGAAGTCAACTATACGTGAGGAACATTGAAAAGGTTGAATAGAAAGCAAATGAGAGAATAAACAGCAAAGTGGGGCCAAATTGCAAGAGCAGCCAAGATTTTTTGATAGTCTCCTCCTATTAGAATCTAGAAAATGCCGATGACTTACAATGATTCTCCACTGACCTCGAACCCCCAGAGAATGCGTCTTGTTTCATGCGATATGGGTGGGTATGATTTTTTCTCTTTTCACATCATTGAGAACGCATGTTAATAAAAAGGGTTCGGCCTACCTAACTCGGTGCAATAGATTTGATAGCCGATAAAGAAGAGAACATAGAAAGTTGCACTGAGGTAAAGTTCGATGTCACTGACCACGTTCATGATGTAGTCGTGGTGGCGGTGGTGGTGATCGTGGTCGTGGTGAAGGAGAATGCCTAACATATGAAATGCATTGAGAGAGTGGGGAACAAGTGTGCGAGTTTAAGCACTTACTTTTGCGTAAGCTCATTGGATGGTGGTGTGGGAGATTGTGAGTTACCTACGCACTCGCACTGTTGCGTGCACCATAAACATAACTTCACCATGTTCACTTAATTCACATGAGTGGAAAATCCCCTTTCTGAAATTTAAATATTATAATAATGGCTCGCTTTTAACGCACTAACTTACAATTTTCGACGTTTTAATCAAACTCCAAACAGTCAGACGTAGAAGTTTGGTGTTTTCAACATGGGGACAATTATGAAGAGGAATTCGGTTCTTTAATCATCCTACTTAATATTGAATGACATAGGTTTTATCTCATACTAGGAATTGTAAATTTTTCCTAACAGGGTTAGTTGTCAGCTTCTTTTTGAGACACACTTCATTGTTAATGTCTCTGTCTTCAAAGCTTGCACGACTTGGTTGATAGTCCTCGAGGTGTAGCACCGTGTGCAGGGATCGATTTTCCAGGCATATCTTCCAAGACAATAATTAATCCACCTTCGACAGATAAGTAGTTGAGGTAGACAGTGGAAGGGGGGAGTTGGTTGCTTATTGAATTGATAGCAAAGGAGGCAGCGGGCTTCATGAAGGAGGACAAAGTGATGAGAAAAGAAGAATTGTACCGTCTATGAGCTGATATTACGTATTGAAAATGAGGAAAAGAAATACTCGTCACTAAATCTAAATCTTATCAATCTTAGCGAATGATGGTAAAAATTATGTGCAATCAAGTAATCGTCTTTTAACTAAACAATAAATTTTCATAACTCCTAATTATGCTCCAAATTGCAAAATTTTATTTACATTTCATTGGAGAAGTCAATGAAGGAATAACGAATAAATGATATGTTAATTTGGGTATTTTCTTCAAAGATGTTGTTCAAAAATGAAATAAAGAAACAAGTGGTGTCAATCAATGAAGTTTGTTAAAAATTTCATTGCATCTGTATATGGCAATTGTTG